GGGGGGGGGGTTGGGATTCAGAGGCGTCCCGCGGGGGACGGGGCTAAGAGGAGGCCAGCACTCCGCAGTCCAGAGGTCGAGTGGGGACAAGTCACAAGTTCAGAGAAGTTGAGCTTCCCGTGAGGAGATGCAGACACCGGGATGCTGGCGAGGACAGGGGCGTGGGCGCCACCAGGGGGGGAGGGTGGGTGCCGGGCTCTGTTCAGATTCTCCAGCTCCCACGGCGCAAAGTAGCCAGTGCCCCTGCGGACGCGCGTGCCAGGAGCACAGCTGCGACCCCCTCTCCCGCCCCCGGCTGGTGCAGAGGAGTCGATGGTGGTCCCCGGGGTGGGGGCAGGGGGCTACGACTCCCCAGAAACGGACGCCCCAGGGTCCCTCCCGTTGCACACGAGGCCTAACTGCGCCTTCTGCCCGCCCAGGTTCAGGCACAGCTCCAGCTGGAAGGCGTCGCGCACGCGCACCCGCACCTGCACCCGCACCTGGCCGCGCACGCGCCCTACCTGATGTTCCCGCCGCCGCCCTTCGGGCTGCCCATCGCGTCCCTGGCCGAGTCGGCCTCCGCCGCCGCCGTCGTGGCCGCCGCCGCCAAAAGCAACAGCAAAAACTCCAGCATCGCCGACCTGCGGCTCAAGGCGCGGAAGCACGCCGAGGCCCTGGGGCTCTGACCCACCGCCCGCGGCCCGCCCGGCCCCGGCCCCACGACCCCGCCCACGCTGCGTCCTGCACGCGCCCCCTCCGCGCCCCCCGAAGGTTCGCACGGACGCCCTGCAGCGAGCGCGCGGGCCCTGGGGCAGCGGCCTCCCCGCTCGGGGCAGCCCGGGGTGGGGCCCACCACTGGCCTAGGGAGGGGGCCTTCCGGGGCCCTCACGACCCCGCCAGACCCTCGCAGAGACCGTGCGGAAGAACGCAGGTGACGCTCAGACCACCCAGCCCTTTGCCGCGCTGTCTGCACTTCCTGGGACCCTGCGCCACCGGGAGCCCCTGTGTGCCCCTGTGCGCCCCTGTGCGCCCCTGTGCTGCCGGCGGCGTTCCTACCCTGTGCATGTGGCTTCCTACTCGCCTTTGGAAGATCTTAGAGTCTATTAAACAAAAGACCTGGGGCTGGTCTCCGCTGAAGATACCAACAGTTTTATTCACTGCCACGAACTTGCTTTTTCGTCTGAGGAGGTTCAGGACGGGTATGGATTTCAATGTGGACTTTCGCCTGCCAGGCAGGGGCCATACTCTGCAGCAATAAGGAACCGCGTCTGAGGACCTCCACAAGGTGGGGTGGGGGTGGGAGAGACCTG